GAGAGGGAGAGAGGGAGAGAGGGAGAGAGGGAGTCTTTTTTGCCCCCACCCCTCAATGTTTGCCGGGAGAGTGGAGAGGCACCTTTTTGGCCAGTGGGGTAGCTACAAGAGGGGTTTTACAGTTGAGATAGAGGGCAGAGGGTAGATGGGGCACAGGTAGGATTGGAGGGGGAGGGAACAGAGAACCTCAGAACTGGGAGAGACTGGAAAGTTGCAACAGTGTGGGAGGGATTGCTACTGATGTCACAGTCTCTAATGAAATAGAACAGGGAGGTGTGGTCACCTTGAGAGCCAAAGTCTCGGTCATAAATATAAGACAGCTAAATTCATTAAGGAATTCAGGGTGAATTTCTTTATCCATAAGTAGTTAGAATTTGAAACTTGCTATCATTTCCACCAGTTGAAGCAAATAGAATAAATGCTTTTGAGGGGCTGCTTGGTAAGTACAGTTAATGAGAAAGAAATGTACAGAAGGATATGCAGGAAAGTGAAGAATGAAGTAGGGTAGGAAGAGGCTTGTGTGGAGCATAAACATCAATTGCGGTAAGTTGGGTTAAATGGTTAGTTTCTGTGCAGGAAGTTCTGATATCAGTTCTTTGCTAATGCAGTCAACTTGCATGAAGTCAATGCTATGACACAATGCTCAATAATGTGTATGTTTTAGCTGTTCAAAAAAGCAAAGCAATCAAGCCTCTAGACCCATATCCCCACTTTTTGTCAATTATGCTGTAAGTTCCTCATCTCCAGACCTTTCCTTCTTGAACTTTCTCCTGTCCAAGCTGTAGTCACTTAGCAAAATCTGTAGTACTGGAGTGCAGGACTCTAAATGATTCCTAGAACATGATCCTTTACCTTGGGCACAATTTTCTTGACTCAAAAACACAGTGAAACTAAATTCACGCCAAAGTGAATTGCTTATTGCCAACATTGCCATTGGTTTTTGTGGGTTACTTCTTCATTCTCACTGATTCTTATTAGTGGATACAGTCACGTTGTATCGTTGTCTTCTGTATTTGAGTCGACATACAGGGTATTTTGATGGGCATGGAAGCAAAATTAGAAGAATTCAATAGTATCTTCAATAATTATCAACCCTTTTAAACAAAGCCACAACACACAAAGAAAGCATTAACTTCACAAATACTATAATTGGGATAAGACATTAGGCATAAGTTAGTGATTTAAAAAAAAATACAAATTCTAACCCGAGCCCTTACCCAACCTTTCTCAGCAGGTTGTATTCTAATCCCTCTCTGCAAGAACATCTTGAACTTCCATTCACCAGCTCAAATGACAACATTTAGGTGGCTCAGTGGTTAGCACTGCTGCCTCACAGCACCAGGGACCTGGTTCAATTCCACCCTCGGGCAACTGTTTGTGTGGAGTTTGGACATGCTGCCCATGTCTGCTTGGGTTTCCTCCAGTTTCCTCCCACAGTCCAAAGATGTGCAGGTTAGATGGGTTGGCCATGCTTAAATTGTCCGTAGTGTCTAGGGATGTGTAGGCTAGGTGGTTTAGCCATGGGAAATGCAGGATTACAGGGATAAGATAGGGGGCGGGGGGTGACAGGCAAACTGGGGACTGGGTCTGGATGCGATACTCTTTGGAGGGTTGGTGTGGACTCGATGGGCCAAATTGCCTGCTTCCGCACTGTAGGCATTCTATGATAACAGGCAAGGTCAGAAATTCATCACATGTTAAATAGAAGCAAGATGCTTTCTCACCACTCAGCGGCACAACATGTCACCTACATGTCTGGGCCAGCAGGTTACGGTGCTTCCTGAGAGAGAAGCATGATCTTAATAAACAAGTTTGCAACTCAACATAAAGTGGTGTCTGTTGCTGGCAGCGATGGTGTAAGGTAGATGCAAATTCTGTGCTGTTCCCTACAACTCTACGGAGAGTCATTTACTTTTTAACAGTGAGTACTTTTTGCACATAAAAGGAATCATGACCACACATACAGAGTGGGAAGGAGGTGACGGCGGAATACATAATGATTCGTAAAAAATGCTGGGAAAACCGATAAAAGTAACAATTTCAAGTACAGCACTTGTGATAGACAAGGATGTGCTTAAGACCGGCACAGTCAATTTAGGGAGACGAGCAAAACCCACAGACAATTTCTGGGATCCAGAAGAATTTGGACCCATGCTGGAAGTCATATGAGGTGCATTTGAGAGAATACTATAAGCAGTTAGAATGGACCTCATGAGCTAAGGCAAGTTGCAGAATAGGACAATCCGTATTGTTTGTGAACTGAGCTGGCTACTCACTGACACTCAGACTGGGTTCTGCCAGGGCCACCCAGCTCCTGACCAAATTATAGCCTTGGTTCATACAGTGAATTCAGAGGTGAGGTGAGAGTGACTGCCCTTGACACCAAGGCTGCAGTTGATCAAGTATGGCATCAAGGAGCCCGAGCAAACCTGGAATGAATGGGAATTAGAGGAAAATCTCTGCTGGTTGGAGTTGGACCTGGCACACAGGAAGATAGTTGTGCTTATTGGAGGTCAATCATCTCAGGTCTGCGACATCTCTGCAGGAGTTCATCAGGGTAGTGCCCTAGTGTCTAAACCCAACCATCTTTAGTGACTTCATCAATGACCTTCCTGCCTTCACAAGGTCAGAACTAGGGATGTTTGCCAATGATTGTACAATGTACAATGAAGCAGTCCATGTTCAAATGCACATAACCTGGAGAATACTCAGGCTTGGGCTCAAAGTGGCAAGTAACTTTCATCCCAGACAAATGCCAAGTGATGACCATCTCCAATAAGAGACAATCCAACCATTACTCCTTGACAGTCGATGGCATTACCACAACTAAATACCCCATCATTAACATCTGGGCGTTACCATAGACCAGAAACCCAACTAGACTCACCACAGATACAGTGGCTGCTACAGCAGGTCAGAGGCTAGGAATACTGCAATGAGTAACTCATCGCCTGACTCCCCAAGACTGTCCCCATCTATAAGGAGTCAGGAGTGTGATGGAATACTCCTCACTTGCCTGGATGGGTGCAGCTCCAAAAACATGCAAGAAGCTGGACTCTTTCTAGGACAAAGCAGCCTGTTTAATTGACACCATATCAACAAACATCCACTCCCTCCACCACCGATGCTCAGTAGCAGTAGTGTGTTGTATCTACAAGATGCAGTGCAGAAATTCACCAAAGATCCTTAGACTGCACCTTCCAAATCCATGACCACCTCCATCTAGAGGGTCAAGGGCAGCAGATTCATGGGAACCAGCTGGAATTTCCCCTCCAAGCCACTCATCATCCTGACTTGGAAATATATTGCCGTTCCTTCACTGTTGCTGTGTCAAAATCCTGGAATTCCCTCCCTAATGGCACTGTGGATCTACCTTACAGCACAAGGACCACAGTAGTTCAAGACAGCAACTGAGCACCCCCTTCGTAAGGACGACTAGGGATGGGCAATAAATGCTGGCCCAGCCGGCGAGAACGTGTCCCATGAGTGAATAAAACAATATGGCGAACTACAATATATTGGTAATGTCTTTTCCAGCCTACAAGGATCCAGTGGTATGGAAATTGAAAGTGTTGCTGACATTGATGATCACTGGAAGTGTGGCCCTTACCCTGCTCTGAAGTTGCTGGTTGAGGAAGTGACATTGCTGCCAGCTGTGGTTTGCTGCAGATGAAGGCACCGCCACCAAGCAGGCTGCTCTCAATTGAGGTGCAGTTAGATAAGTTCTCTTTGAAGAACCCTTGGTGAATACAGCTTCCTGCTCTGAGCGTTCCTTCTCCTTCTAACTTAGAGAGTAGCTGGTCTTCTCGACTACCTCTGCTCCATTTTGCCAGGCTGCTGCCCCGCAAGAGGAGATGCAACAAAAGTCCTGTGATGGACAGCAGGTGGTAAGCTGCAGGTCTTTCAAACACATTGACTGCACCACTTCCTTCTGACATTCTCAACTTCTAGCAACATCTTTAACACTTCCATTAACTCTGCAGCAGCAAGAAGACAGTATAGGGCACCCGACCTCTAAGTTGAATGGTGATTTCTTTACATAGAGCCAGTGTGGGAGTCTCTCCAGTAGGTGACCACAAGTTACATGGTTTGTAATTAAGGAAAAGTGTCAGGAGTAAGTTCAGTTCAAAATGCCTGGTCAGGCATCAAATTTGTACTGGACACCAACTGAAGTTGTGACCTGCCTACTCCATGACATACACATTAAAACCCACATGTTCACCTTGTACAATATGCCAATCAGTCCAGACCAAACATATTATTGGAGGAAGGTGTCTATTGTTTTTTAGCTCAACGGGCTCCCTTAACACCAGAACTATCAATGCTACAGAGCTCAAATTTGCATCTCATTAGTCCATTAGTGATGAAGTGATACCAAACTTCAGATTTACAAACCTGAAAATTACAGAAGGAAAGAAAAACAAAGGATATAATGAGTTCCACATTATAAAGACCCAAAAAGCTAAGAGCAGGAAGACTACTTTAAGTCTTACTTTGAACTCTGGTTACATAACAGCAACAAGTGAGCTTCAAAAGTAGTTCAGATGGGGGGTACTTTGAAAGGTTTCCTGGGAGACATGATAAGGTACTAAATAAATACATTCTCACTGAGTTGAAAATATAAGGAAGGAAGCTAAAAAAAGTATATGTGATAATAACACGGGATCTGGTGCATGTTACAGTCTGGTTCTGTGACTTATTGGTGACGATTGGAAATGTTCCCTTTGTAAGTGCATGCTTGGCTGGATAAATTATGATACAATGGATTCCTGTACGTCTCAAGGCTTACTTGGCACTCAAATAGGCACTTACTGTTCCCTACAAGGATGCAGAGTAATACTGATTAAACAGCACTTGTCAGTCTTCAAAAAAATGAACAAAGTATTTATTCTAAGCAGTTGGTAACCGAACATTCCTTCTCTCCACGATATCACTTCCTTTGGCCCGGTGTCCATTTTGTTTTCATTGCTGTGAAGCATTTAAGGTGTTCACTATGTTAAAGATGCTTTAGAAACCCAAGGTGCTGCAGCAAACATGAGCAGAGGTCACAAATAAGCATTATACTGTGGCTGCCCTGTCTTGAACCTTACTTGCATGCTGATGATGGTAAGATTTTGAACAGTACAACTTTCAAGATTTTGTTATGGAATACCCTGGTGACGTTTTTGGTTGCTGCTCTGACTCAACTCATCTTCAACGAGAACATATGCAATTGACAGCCCAGCGTTCAGCAAATGAGAGAAGTTAATTGAAATGAAACAGATATAGATAAGAGTTATTCTTTGGAGAAGTTCCAACCTCATTAGTTCTCTGTAAGGGGGAATCCTAGTTAGAGGAAACACATCCTGGACTGGCCCTGGAAATAGGCTCCCAGATCGTGGCTGTGACGCTGCTGAGTATTATTTTGAACTGATAGCTAGTCCTAAGCTGAGTGCCTGAGCTGATTCCATTCCTACATATCCAGTCATAGCCAGAGAAACATCCACAGTGACTTCCCCTTAAGCTGTTACTGCTGCATTCCCCCTGGGCTCTATCTCTGGGCCCTTCTTATTTCTCAAATACATGCCTTGTACATCGTCTAATTACATGTCATCACTTTACATGCAAGGTCACACTTTGACAGAAGGTGTCGGGACTTGTCTTTGGGATCAAAACGTGGTAGGAAGCAAGCATCTGAGGGCAGTTGAGTATTCAAATAAGGGATAATTTGTTTGCTAAAGATGCTTTGATTTTTAAGTTAGCACTACATTTAGTTTCATGGTGTCTGTACAAAAGGGCCCTGTTTTCACAAAGGGGAATCTGTCTCAGTAGGCATTCAGGACCTCGCTATTATATGGAGTTGCACTAGCTCTCTACATTTACCTTATTAAACTGGTCCCCTTATCCAAGTACAAGAATTGCAGTCTCACTTAATAACTCAGAGATGCATTTAGAGCCACAGGTTTCCAATAACAGCTGGGAACACTGATACAGAATTTTAGTCCATCCATCTGTGATATTTTAATGCAGCCACTTTATTAGCATTTTACTTCAGAAGCAATGTGCAGCAGCAGGGTGATGACATGTATGACATCACCTCACCTCATATTCAATACTTAAAGGGCCCATTTAAAGACGTGGTTCAGCAGAAATACAAACTTAAACAAAAAGAGAAGAAATTGGTTTCATGGTAGATTCAGGTTAGTCAAGGATTGCGTGCCAGTTTAATGCACGGAATACCGATGGGGTCAGCGAGGAATCGGAGAGAGATACCCTTCTCTAGCAAAAGGAGGAAGAAACCGGCAAGAATCCAAAGATGTTCTATGACTTGTAGCTCCTACAGCTCCAAACCCTACTACTGCACAACACTGTAGGCAATGCAACGCACCACAACATCGTGAACAACCTGGTTATGTAATGAAAGGAACCTCCAGATCCATCGAGGATACCTGAAACATATCTTCAGCATGCTGACTACATGTTCAGTCACTGGATTACCACTGTGTTTCATTCATGAGTTTTTGTTTTTATAGGTATTGCTGGCTTGAAGTGGGTATCTCTCATCTCCCAGCAACATCTTCAGTGAGATAAAACTGCCACAGGAAGAAAGCATCATGACAGCTCCCTAGAACCACTGTCCATGGTTGCACCAACATCTTGCTGTTACACACTAGCTACACAGTAATGGAGAGGAAGCCCATGCAAGTTGGGGGATACTGCTAGCTGTTCTAAGGGAGCATGAATTTCTGTGTGTGCAACTGCCATCTCCCTGTGAGAACCCCACCAGCAACACATACTCAATTTCTTGCAAATTCTGATTGATGTCAACAAAGATGGAATTCACAATTACTGATCCTGAAAAACAATCCATCAGTCACTTGTCATTTGCTTTGGCTGGAACTGGGAGATCCTGGATATCTAGCAGAGCCCAGGAATGGTCCAGAGGCAAAAAGGTTGAGGGCAGCAGTCATTTTAACTGTCTTTGTTAACAGTGGACATCACATCTAGTGGGGATCAGGTTTGTTTCTCAGATATCTGTCACCCACCTGGCTCAATTGCCTTGAACTCCTGAAATACTGCTGTTCAGATATGTCAAGGAAGCTCATCTTCTGGCTATACACCATGTTATTCCTCCTATGAGCTGCAGCCCACAGCTGCTCCCCATTCTGGTATCCAGCAATAAGTCACAGAATAGCAGGCTGCTGTTAGTCCTCATGCTGATGTTTAGCTGCTGGTTACATTGTTCCTACTGAGGTCCAGTCTAAGACTGCCATCCCACCATGATGCGATTCAGAAAATCTCCAAAGAAAGTAAATTCTCAGCAGAAGCACAGTGAACAAAGCCCTTCCAAATAAAAGGCAAGATCAGAGCTGTGGGTTTGTGTCTTTTTTGAAATCTTTACATCAGTTTTAATCAGATCCTTCAATTGCCAGTGTGTCTGACCTTGCTTTTACTAGTGGCTTTTAGAACGCCCAGGAAAATTATGGATGCAACTTTGAACTTGGGAAAGTATGCTGCAACACTGCTCCAATTTAAGACTTAGCATCAGTCAATTTGATGGCGGGAAATCCTGTCTGACTAATTTATTGCCTTTTTAGAAAACTTGACTAACTATCTTGAGTGATAGTGCAGTTGATGTGGTTTACATGGATTTCAGTCAGGCCTTTGACAAGGTCCCGCATCAAAGGCTGGTCCAAAAGGTAAGAGCCCATGGGATCCAAGGCAAGTTGGCAAATTGGATTCAAGCCTGGCTTACAAATAGGAAGCAAAGGGTGATTAGTGGAGGGTGGGTTTTTGTGATTGGAAGCCTGTGTTCAATCCGTGTATCACAGGGATCAGTGCTGGAACTCTCGCTGTTTGTAATGTGCATTAACGACTTGGATGTGAATGCAGAAGGTATAACTAGTAAAACTGCAGATGACTTGAAAATTGGTGGTGTTGTTGAGAGTGAGGAGGATGGTCACAGGCTACAATCTGTTATTGATCAGCTGGTAAATTGGGCACAGCAATGGCAAATGAAGTACAATTCTGTTAAGTGTGGGGTGATGCATTTTGCGAAGTCTAATAAGAGAAGGATTTATACAATGATTGGTAGATCCCTAGGGAATACGGAGAAACAAAGGGACCGTAGTATACAAGTCCATTGATCCGTGAAGGTGTGAGTGCAGGTAGATAGGGTGGTGAAGAAAGCATACAGGATGCTGGTCTTCATTAGGGATGTAGAATATAGGAGCAACGAAGTCTTGTTGCAACTTTATAGAGCATTGTTTAGACTACAGATGGAATAATGTGTGCGTTTCTGGTTGTCACACTATCAAAAGGATGAGATTGCACTGGAGAAGGTGCAGAGGAGAGTCACCAGTTATGTTGCCTGGGATGAAAATTTTCAGTTATAAGGAGAGACTGGATAGGCAGAGTTTGTTTTTCCTGGAGCAGAGGAGGCTGAGGGGTTATCTGAATGAGGTGTACAAAATTATGGGAGGTATAAATGGAGTAGATCCTGAGATTCTTTTCCCCACTGCAGACGTGTCTTAAACCAGAGGGCATAAGTTTAAGGTGAGGATAAGTTGTTTAGAGGAGATCTGAGAGAGTGGCAGAAATATAGAACGAGCTGCCTGAGAGAATGGTGGAGGCAAATACTGTCACAACATTTAGGAAGCAACTGAATGAGCACCTAAAATGCATGGGCATAGTGGATTATGGACCAAGTACAAGTAAATAGGATTACTGTAGTTTGGCATTTGTTGGTTGGAATATATATGGTGGGCCGAAGGCCCTGTTTCTATGCTGTATGACTATGATTCTATTCGGGCAACAACTCTCCCAAGGGGGTTTCATATAACCAGTCTAACACTCTGAATCGAAATCTGAAAGTCAGTACATGGAGTGAGCTTCCTGTGCGCTCACATTTTTGACGGTACTTGTTCCAACCTGCACTCAAACCCATTTACCAGTTTAAAATTTTCCCCACAGAGCAAGGTTTTGATGGCCTACAATGTCATCAGGCTAAGAGAACTGGGTTTATTTACACTATCAGCTGTGTGCAGCTTAACCTCACTCATATTGTGTAAGAATGCTGTTTAGTTGAGCCACGTCTCACTGAGAACAGGAGAGATAAACGGGACTCTTTATCTCTCAGCAAAAAAGCCAGAGTTTGCAGGTTAAATTTTGTCAGCATTTTAATACTTTTCTGCTTTCACTTTCAACAGCTCCATAAAGCACTCCTGTCATTTGCCTTTTTTATTCTAAACTCAAAAAACAGCAACTTTGGAATTTAGATGGGCAATTGCCCTCATGTTTGGTGCAAGCTGAAGTGCGTTAATAAATATACAATAAGTACAAAGTTAAGTTCAGCTCCAAGCTCTTGCCACAGCAAATATTGTCCTGTAATTTTCAACACTGCTCAGGATTATTTGATTTTTATGCATTTTCTTCATTCGTTTGGTGAAGGAGCTAGCTGGGACGGGACGGTGGCTCAGTGGTTAGCACTGCTGCCTCACAGTGCTGGTGACCCGGGATCGATTCTGCCCTCAGGCAACTGTGCGGATTTTGCACATTCTTACTGTGTCTGCGTGAGTTTCCTCTGGTCATCTGGTTTCCTCCCACAATCCAAAGATGTTTTTCTGATGAAGGATCTAGGCCCGAAACGTCAGCCTCTCTGCTCCTATGATGCTGCTTGGCCTGCTGTGTTCATCCAGCCCTGCACCTTGTTGTCTCAGATTCTCCAGCATCTGCAGTTCCTACTATCTCTGATTAGGTGGATTGGCCATGCTAAATTGCAGGCTAGTTAGATTAGCCATGGGAGATGAAGGGTTACAGGGATAGTATGGCGGGGGAAGGTGGGTCTGGGTGGGATGCTCCTTGGAGTGTCAGTGTAGACTCAATGGACCAAATGGCCTGCTTCCACACTGTAGAGATTCTATGATGACTAGGTGCTTGGGGAGGATGAAACTTTCCTGTCAAATGAGACGTTGGCCAGTATTAAAACACTGAGGTTGCCGGTGCAAAATTTGTACAAGAGTGCTGCTGATCTTTTAATATTTGCAATTCAGTGTATTTTAGAAGCAGAATGGTGAAGTGTGTATTGTACACATGGGCATCTTTCAGGTTGCTTCATCAGGTCTGCTATTGTGGTTCTAAAAACAGAAACAGTTCCATTCCATTGGTCATGACCACAATAAATGCACTAAGTAAATTAAAACACAATGCTCTCTCCTTCATTCTGGTTATCAGGCACTTTGCTATTTTTCTGGCTTTCGTTGTACAATATATTTACATTTCTGTTGAGAGAAGTTTTTTTTAACCTGTTTGACATATGAATCTGAATATGCATAAAATGCTGCTGTGCCACAAATGTATCTAAAATGGCTATTTTATGTACTATAAAGATTAGACATTTACAGAAGTTTCCTCAAAAGCAGCAATAGTATTCCATTGTCAAAGGTTCAAAATTTTAAAAGAACTGTGACTCACTGCATTTGTAGATTTCCTCCAACCTGTCCACCGAAGTCAATGAAAAAAGTTTATAACCAGAGTTAGTACCAACTGCCAGAGATCTGCAGAACAAACAACAAAATAAGAATCAATATAATACGTAACTTGAGCCAGACATCTCATTTTCTGTCCGGACTTCATTGCTGAACGGAAATGTTGACTTTTCCATTGTTACCTTTAAGAAAGGCCAAGCATTCTTTCTGGCCAAGAATGCAGGTAACAACTGGGGAGATCCTCATTCACCTTTCTTATAGCATTTTAGCGACAGAGTGGGAACTTACACTATCTTATATCACCTGGTATTGATATTCCTACATAAACCATATCTGGTGCTAATACTCTTCATGATCAATGATGAATCAGTAACACTCTCAAAGTCAACATTAATGCATATTTGATAATGATACAACTTGTATCAGGTTTCATACAGATCCAATACTGGTACTCTTCATACCATGGTTGATACAGATTTAATCAAAGAATCCCTACAGCGGTTGATGTGGTGTATTTGGATTTCAGTAAAGCGTTTGATAAGGTTCCCCATGGTAGGCTATTGCAGAAAATACGGAGGCATGGGATTGAGGGTGATTTAGCGGTTTGGATCAGAAATTGGCTAGCTGTAAGAAGGCAGAGGGTGTTGGTTGATGGGAAATGTTCATCCTGGAGTTCAGTTACTAGTGGTGTACCTCAAGGATCTGTTTTGGGGCCACTGCTGTTTGTCATTTTTATAAACAACCTGGATGAGGGCGTAGAAGGATGGGTTAGTAAATTTGCAGATGACACCAAAGTCGGTGGAGTTGTGGATAGTGTGGAAGGATGTTGCAGGTTACAGAGGGACATAGATAAGCTGCAGAGCTGGGCTGAGAGGTGGCAAATGGAGTTTAATGCGGAAAAGTGTGAGGTGATTCACTTTGGAAGGAGTAACAAGAATACAGAGTACTGGGCTAATGGTAAGATTCTTGGTAGTGTGGATGAGCAGAAAGATCTCGGTGTCCATGTGCATAGATCCCTGAAAGTTGCCACCCAGGTTGATAGCGTTGTTAAGAAGGCGTACAGTATGTTAGGTTTTATTGGTAGAGGGATTGAGTTTCGGAGCCATGAGGTCATGTCGCAGCTGTACAAAACTCTGGTGCGGCCGCACTTGGAGTATTGCGTACAGTTCTGGTCACCGCATTATAGGAAGGATGTGGAAGCATTGGAAAGGGTGCAGAGGAGATTTACCAGGATGTTGCCTGGTATGGAGGGAAGGTCTTATGAGGAAAGGCTGAGGGTTTTGAGACTGTTTTCGTTAGAGAGAAGAAGATTAAGAGGTGACTTGATAGAGACATACAAGATGATCAGAGGATTAGATAAGGTGGACAGTGGGAGCCTTTTTCCTCAGATGGTGATGGCTAGCACGAGGGGACATAGCTTTAAATTGAGGGGTGATAGATATAGGACAGATGTCAGAGGTAGGTTCTTTACTCAGAGAGTAGTAAGGGCATGGAATGCCCTGCCTGCAAAAATAGTAGACTCGCCCACTTTAAGGGCATTTAAATGGTCATTGGATAAACATATGGATGATAATGGAATAGTTTAGGTTAGATGGGCTTCAGATTGGTTTCACAGGTCGGCGCAACATCGAGGGCTGAAGGGCCTGTACTGCGCTGTAATGTTCTATGTTCTATGTACAGTGTGGAAGCAGACCATTCGGCCCATCAAGTCCACACTGACCCTCTGAAGAGCATTCCACCCAGATCCACCCCCTACCCTATCCCTGTAACCCTGCATTGCCCATGGCCAATCCACCTGACCTTTACATCTTTGGACTGTCAGAGGAAACCCATGCAGACACAGGGAGAATGTGCAAACTCCACCCAGACAGTTGTCTGAGGTGGAATCAAATTGGATCCCTGACACTATGAGGCAGCAGTAAACATTCAGCCAACATGCCACCCCAGATATTGCCACAGATTATTGATACAGATTATTATTGATACAGATCTAATATTGGTATAACTTGCCATTTTTAAAAACAAAAAATGTCTTGGATTTGCTTGATGTTCTCTGCATCTAGACATTCAATTCTGGACAATGGAATTAATTTTATATAACAATCAGTGTATTTACAGCACCAAATGCCTTTCTGACTCTAAATAAAAAACTGAAAGAACTGCTTATGCTGGAAATCAGAAACAAAAACAGAAATTGCTGGAAAAAGTCAGCAAGTCTGCTGAGTCCAGCAGGTCACTGGACCTGAAACATTAACTCTGATTTCTCTCCACAGATGCTGCCAAACCTGCTGAGTTTTTTCCAGCAATTTCTGCCTTTCTAACTCTTCTGTTCTCCCTTGAACAGTTATTGTATAGTGAGGGATGCAATTCGTGAAACACCCATCCTTACAATAAATTAAATGCATTAACTTGTACTGCACTTCATAGTCATTAAAGATGATTGTTCAACTACATGCCATTGGGAATATGTGGTCAGGAGTTTATGCAAATTGAAGCATTTTGGCTAGTTTCAGCCACAAGTTCAAAAGCAATATGGAATGTAGCAAAGCTATGAATGAAAATTCAGGTGTGATATCTGAAATGTCCTGTCTGTGAATGCTGAAACAGAATATACGAGCTGATCCTCGTGGCTTTGCACAAGAGTGTCAAGAACATGTATAGTCATTAGGTGAAGGATGATTAGCAGGTGTGGGATGTAATGAAAAAGACTGACATGAAAGTAAGGAAAATTGTGATGAGAAGAAGGTGTTGCATGAAAAAAATGAAAGCAGCTATTAGTTATCAATATACCATTTTCAAGGATGTTACTGGAGGATTTCTCTTGATCATGCAAAAATTCCTTCAACTAAGCATTGTAAAACCAAAGTCACAGCTTTCAGGGTTTGCCACAAACTCCAACCCTCTTTCGTGGTCACTGCCTGGGATTGAACAAAACCATTCACATTCTTGGCATCCTGACTGACATCCAGACACAAGTTTCAGACCAGACAGTCACATCATCACCAAAACTGTTTGCTTTCAACTCTGTACCATCACCTGTCTCTGCCCTTACCTTGGCTTATGTATTGCTGTAATCCTCATCCATGCATTTGTTATGGGTAGACTAGACTATTGCAATTCATTCCTGACTAGGTTTCTGTCTTGCTTACTCCCAAAATTGAACTTATCCAAAGTGCTGCTGCCCATATCCTACCTTGCGTGGATTTATAGTAGCGGTGTCAAGTAAACCTTCAATCTTAAAATGCTCACCCCTGTTTACAAATCCTTTCCAAAGCTCCTCCATTTGTCAAATCCCAGAATTCTGTAATTCTGCTTGTTCCTAAATTTATCCACTCCACCTTGGTCATGCCTTCAACTGCCTAGGTTTTAGGCAGTTTCTCTCCCTAAGCCTCCCCACTCCTTTAAGATGTTCCTTAAAATCTGTATTGATGACCCATTTTACCTTTCATAATATCAATTTTTGATTGATAATGCTCCACCGAAGTACTTCAGGATATGTTATTACTTTGGAAGTCTTATGTAAATGTAAGGTATGGCTACAATGGGTAACGATGAAAAGAAAGAGATATGCTAAAGCTTCTGACTTACTTGCATCAGGACAAATGCAAGAATGTAAAATTTCAAATGATCACAACAATTTATACTTTACGAGAAATGGCAGCTGGTTGGCAAGCAAATTTGATTGAATGAGGCACTGCCATGGAAAAAGCAACAGGTAATCATATGCTCCACCAGCTTCCAAGCTATTCACAAAATGTGCAAGACTTGAACATATTCCTTTTGTTTGCAGAAAATGGGTCCTTGCATGTATGTCTCTTATAGCAAGTGTAAATGAAACAAGTTACACGCTCAAGTGATCACCTTAAATTGTTTCTTATAGGGAGAATGAAGCACTCAGGGTTATTCCGCCAGTGTGGGCTAATCACGGAATCATATACACCAATAAAGGTTTTGTTTTGTGCTTTGAAAGCACAGGCTGGTTTGATTATAGATGATCATTGTCCTGTAGAATGGCTTTGATATGTCCTATTTGAGTGACATAGTGACACATAGATCATAGAATCCCTACAGTGTAGAAACAGGCCCTTCGGCCCAACAAGTCCACACCGACCTTGAAGCATCCCACCCAGACCCAAACACCCCCAAACCCACCTACCACTGATTAAAACTGCTGCCTCACAGCACCAGGGACCCAGCTTTGATTCCAACCTTGGGTGACCGTGTGAAGTTTGCACATTCTCCCTGTGCCTGCGTGGGTTTCCAGCAGGTATTCAGTTTCCTCCCAAAGTCTAATGATGTGCAAGTTAAATGGACTGGCCATGCTAAATTGTCCTGTAGTGTCCAGGGGCAGGTAGGCTAGGTAGATTAGCCACGGTAAATGCGGGGTTACGGGGAAATGGTAGGGGATGGGTCTGGATGGGATGCTCTTCGGTGGAATGGCTTCTTCCACACTGTAGGGATTCTATGATTCTATGAATTGTCGATTATCAACATCCTGGGGGTCATCATTGAGAAGAAAAGGAACTGGACCAGTGATATGAATACTACAGCTGCAAAGGTGGACCAGAGGATAAAAGTTGTGTGGAGATTAGCTCACCCACTGTTGCCCTAAAGTTTGAACACCATCTACAAAGCACAAGTTGGGAATGTGCTATGCCTGGACGCGTGCAGCTTCAGTGATTCAAAAAGCTTTACATCGAGGGCATTGCAAACTATATGAGTGGTACCCCATCCACCAGTTTCAACATTCATTCCCATCACCACTCACAAAGAATGACAGTGATGTATACCATGAGGCTCTTCTGAAAGTATCTTCCAAATCCACAACCACTTCCATCTAGATGGACACAGGCAGCAAATACATACCATCACTTGCAAGTTCTCCTCCAAGCCATATACCTTCCTAATATGGAGCTACAGTGATGTTCCTTTACTTTCACTGAGTCAAAATCCTAGAAGTCCCTTCTTATCAGTACTCTGGATATATCTAGCCCTCAAGGACTGCAGCGGTTCAAGAAGGCAACCTACCTTCTAAAGGGTAATTAGGGATTGGCAATAAGTGCTGGCTT